ATTTTTTTTTACGAGGGAGTTGAATTTTCATTCATTTTAAATAACAAGAAGGCACAATGTGCACCATAAATGTTGCTCTCGTAAAGCTGTCAAGCATACTAAATTCGAAATGGGACGGTGTGCCAGACTGGTTTTGCAACTGCATAGAGGCCACAATATGCACCTTTACGGCCTCAATTAGTGAGAGTATAGAGACAGTCTTTCTGAGAGACTCAAATCGAATGCATGTTATATATAGAGAAAATATATTTTATATGTGTACCTACAGATACAAATATATAACTAACAAATTTATTTGTATTTGTATATCTGTATCTGTATAGATGCACATAAAGTGATGCTGGGACGGCAAATAAAATAGTTGAGCGATCGTTATACGAGAGGATAAAAGCGGTATTCGTTTAAAATCGCGGTATCGTTATATAGCAGCACGGTAGTCTGTCCCTGTGATGCAAAAAAAAAAAAAAAAAAAAAATACTGATCAGCAACGAGAAAATATATAACGGTATAAATCCATAGCCACACTTGAAATTTATATTCTATTCTTTTTCAATCATGAATCAAATACAATCTTTAACTCATTATATTCTTTTATAGCCTTATCCATTCCTCTTCATCATGCGACTGCAAATACTTTTTTAATGATGAGAGAGGTCAAACTTTTTTTTTCTTATTTTTCATTCATTCATCATTTTCAAATGATCACTCTCGATATATTTAAATATATGCCAAAGAATCTCTAATTCGATCAATAATAATTCTTTCTCGAAAATTCAACAGTCATTTTTTTAAAATGCCCTTTTTTGGCAATTGACATTTAACGCAAAAAAAAATTATCAAGAATATTTTCTTTTTTGAGGAAACAAACATTTTCTATCTTAAAGATGATTTCTAAATAGTTTCTAAGTGTCCGACCTTTTCGGAAAAATTCCCTTCATTCAAAAATAAAATAAGGGCACTTTTTAAAAAATGCCCTTTTTTGACCATCGACAAATTCGTTAACAAACATGTCGAAACCATTTTTTTTTTAAGAAACAAAAATTTTCTGTTTCAAAAATAAAATATAAACAGTTTCTAAATACCTGACCTTTTGGAAAAAATCCCTTCTTTAAAAAATAAAACGAAGGCAAAAAAATTCTTATGAATGTGAAAGTGAAAGAAAAAATAAAAATCTATTAAACTACCAGGGAAATTTATTTTTACTTCACTATTTTCACAAGTCACTTTTATAGTGAAAGTAAAAAAGAAACTGAAAATAAAAATCGCAAGAATTCAATTATTCTCATAAATAATAAAATTCTTTGGAAGAATTTAATTATTTTTATAAATAGTATAATTCTTGACAGGAATTCAATTATTCTCATAAATAATAAAATTCTTTGGAAGAATTCAATTATTCTCATAAATAATAAAATTCTTTGGAAGAATTTAATTATTTTTATAAATAGTATAATTCTTGACAGGAATTCAATTATTTTCAAAACAATTTTAATAAAATTTCACGAAACAATTCAGTTATTATTTTTAAATTTTAAGTAAAATTTTTCGAAAGAATTAAATTATTTTTTAAAATTTTAATAAATTCTTCGAAACAATACAATTATTTTTTTAAATTGTAAAATTCTTTGCAAGAATTAAATTATTTTTTATATATAATAAAATTTTTCTCAGGAATTGAATTATTTTTAATAAAATTTTAATAAAATTTCTCAAATGGTTTCAATTATTTTTCAAAATTGTAATAAAATTTATCTAAAAATTCAATTGTTCTCAAAATTTTTAATAAAATTCTTTGTAAATTTTATTAAAAATATTTTTAAAAAACTACATTTCTTTCAAGGAATTCATAAATTTATAATTAGGCAACACATTTTAGAACTTAATAATAATAATTTTCCCAAAAGTAACAAATTTTATAAAAGTTCGTAGAGATTGACAATATTATAATTTATTTCCCTGTTTTCCCGAATTTCCCATAGTTAGTAGACTCCCTGTCAATTACGTTTTCAAATAATAAAATCCTCTCCGAAATTATTCAATTATTTTCGGAAATTTTTAATTTTTCAAAAGAATTCAATTATTTAAAAAAAAAATTCATTAAAATTCTACACAAACATTTAAATATTTTAATAAATATTAAAAATTTCACATGAATTCAATTATTTATAAATTTTTTTATAAATTTCTTGTCGATAATTTAATTATTTTCATAAATAATACCATTTTTTACAAGGAGTCAATTATTTTCATAAATAACAAAACACCATTTACATTTTTAAAGAATTATATATATTTTGGACAATTTGCAATTTTGGACTTTTTGTACTCTTGGATTTTTTGTACTTTGGATAAATAAATTTTTGGACCTTATGGATTGAATTTTTCGTCTTGGACCTTTTGGATTGGATCTTTTGTACCCCAATCATTTAAACAAGTAAATTCTTGTAGAATTTTCTAATAAAATTTGATTTAATAATGAATTTCAGTTAAAATTTTAGATAATAATTGAGTATTAAAAGCATTATAGCGTGAATTTTTAGAAATAATTGACTTTAGAAAAGGTTTCAAATTAAAGTCTTTAAAAATCTGAATTTTTCATACTTTTAGCTAATTCTGTAGAATTATTTTTTTTAGAAAAAGTTTATTTGAATTTATTTGAAATTATTTTAAGTTCTTATTTTTTAATATAATTTTAATTAAAGAATTTCCGAATAATCGAAATTTCGTAAAATTGAATTGTAAACGAATGAATTTGAAAATTTTCAAAAAACTTTTTAAAAAAATTATTAAAAAATAATTGATTTGAAGAAGAATTTTAGTTAAAAATTCTAAAAAATAAAAATTGAATTGAAATGATGAGAATAATTATGAGGAAGTTACAGTATATTGTTATAATATAAAATAATAAATTTATCACTCGGTCATCCTTAACTATGATAACTCATGAAATTTCAAAAGGTTTGAATCTGAAATTTTTGAAAATCTTAATTCCTACAGAAAAATAATAATGATTAAATATTTATTTAAAATGTAAGTTATTGATGTTTTCGAATAATTTTACAATTAAAGAAATTCGTAAATAAATAAATGTAATAGAATATTTTTTTGAGTGTCTAAATATTTTTAGACTTAATCATAAAATATTCTTTAGAATCAGGGAAAAAGTCAAAATTTTTTGTAAAAATCGAAAAATTAATTTTTTTTTCCCTAAATGAAAAGTCAAGGAAAAAGAAAATTAATTTTCTGTGGCAATCCTGAATTGATTCAAATAAAAATGACTTGATTTAAGTCAATACTTGACTCAAATAAAAATTATTTAATTATAGTAAATATTTAACTGATAATAGTCAAGTAATCGATTATTTTTTATGAAACAACTTTTTTGTTTTCAGTGTAAGAATTCGCACTTGTGAAATTCAATATATATTTGAAAGTCACGTCGATAAAAATTACTCGAAAACTTTTGGATCGTGAAAAATTTATTTTGCACTTGTGAATATAAGTATAAGTCCACCATATTGGACACATTATGAGCAATTTGTATAGTGAGCTGTTAGTTGATTAAATGATTACTTACACGCACTCTTTATGACCTCTTATAAAATTTTACGAGACGCATCTAAAATTTCCAAGCGGTTAATAATATGAGATAATACGAATTTAAATAAAATTTTTACAATTTCCTTTTTAACGATTTTAATATTTCCCACGCTCATTGTGGGAATTGTTGATGATTAAATACACATATAATATGTATTTATATATTTGTATAATTACGGAAAATTATTGCAAATATATAAACGAAGAAAAAAGAATTAGAATATAGAAATCATATTTTAAATTGACAACTGGAATTAATCGTTCTGTAAATGCTATGCGAATGAAAAGTTTTCTTATTCAAAGATTACTTCAATTTTTTCTATTTATTCAGAAATATCATTTGTATATTTATGTAATTTATTGTATAACCGCTTCTGAACTTTTATAAATTATGTATCTGTAATGCATGTTGTTTATATTCGTTATTTGCAACAGATGTTTGGTTTATATCCATCTATGAAATTCTCATTCTAGTGAAAGAGAAACAAATGAATTGTTCTCAAAAACGTCTTTTCAAATTTTATGATGTATTTTATAACTTAATCCTGGAAATATTAGTCTACACTTTAATCCTGAAAATGTGTTCTAATCCTCAAAAAAAAAAAAAACTTTCAAAACTCGTCAAATCCTTTAAATTGTTTTATGACGAGAGTAAAGGTCTCTTTACTAAAATTTGTGTGACCCTGAGATAGGGTGGAGACAAATTGCAAAAAATCCAGGTAGAATCTTAAATTCATTCCCACTCCTCAAAACTTTGTACCCCCACTCTTGTAAACCTTATTTTTGACAGAACTTTACTTCACTTCAATTTGTAACTTGTTGAAATAAACACCTTTGTACAATGTACATTTCACTGCTCAAATTCATTCAAATAACCAAATTATTCTCCGCGTCTTATTAACTTAACACGCGGGCATTGTATCCTAGTTCATTAAAAATTATAAGTTAGTGGTGCAATGCCAAAAGATAACATGGTCCTTCGAGCCGGATACTAAATGAGCAATTGTATGCGCGAAAAGTGATAAGTTGCAGTGAAAAATTGTTCAAGGAAAACAATTGGTGAAATTAATTAAACTCTCACAATACAAGTGTGTATTGTTTTAATGATTGACTCAAGTGACATAAATAAAACAAACGATGCAAAGTGAAACACGCTAATACATAAAATAGTGACAATCAGTTTGCCAAGGACTTGTGCACATTTTAAGACGACATCTTCTTCAAGTTTCGGCAGGAGCAGAGTGGACATTTCTGAGACTCAAAAGAAAATTCTAATCCATACCAATCAACACCTGTCAGCAAGAGAAGAGTAAGTTTGTGAATCTCTCTATCCTTATTCTAATCTATTCCCTGTCAGTAATTGTTAATTAATTCAAAGAAGTAAACAAGGTTAATCAATCATGCCTACCGATTCCTCAGAAGATTTAGCAAATTTAAAGAGCGAGAGAAGAGTATTAAAATCTAAATTTACCAAATTTATTAATTTTATTAAAAACGAACAAAATGCATCCAAATACACAGAAGTTCGTTTGCGAATTCAAAAAATCGAAGGTATTTTAGAGCAGTTTGAAGATATTCAATCAAAAATTGACGCAATTTCGCAAGACTCAAATTCCGACGATTTTGATAGTTTTGAAACTCTTTATTACAGCGAAATGAGTAAAGCTCATGATTTGCTTAACAAAGAAAATGCACGTCCGGTTATTAACGATTCACTCACAAATTCTAGGAATTTAAACCAAGTTCCTCAAAATCACATTCGCTTACCAACTATTGAACTAACGACATTTGATGGTTCATACGATAAATGGTTGGATTTCTTTAATTCTTTTACGTCAATGGTTCACAATAATCGAGATCTTTCAGATTTACAAAAGTTACATTATTTAAGGTCGTGTCTTAAGGGAGAAGCAATGTCAATTATCTCCTCTTTAGAATGTTCAATAGAAAATTATTCCATCTCTTGGGAATTGCTTCAAAAAAGATTTGACAATAAACGCATAATCATTCGAACTCATGTAGATGCATTGTTAGAATATCCAAAATTAATAAAGGAATCTGCCCAGGAATTAAGGAAATTGTTAGATCTTGTGCAAATTCATTTACGAGCATTAAAATCATTAAATGAGCCAGTAGATTCTTGGGACACCTTAATCATACACCTTATCACATTAAAACTCGATAGAAATACACACAAAGAATGGGAAGAGTCAATTGTTGGATCAGATATGCCAAAAATGAAAAAATTTTTGTTATTTCTGGAACAACGATGTCAAATTTTACAAATCGCATCAATTAATTTAAACATGCATTCAAATAATGCAGGTAATTCAGTTCCAAAAAACAAACCACAGAATACACAAAAAAAACAAGCGCTTATGGTTGCTGGAAAATCTAATTTATGTATTATTTGTAATGCCGAACACAGATTATATAAATGCGAAATGTTCTTAAAACTCAGTATTAAGGAACGGGTAGAAAAATTAAAGGAAGCCAAGGTATGTTTCAATTGTTTAAATAGCGGACATATCAATTCAGAATGCAAATGGACGGGTTGTCGTAAATGCGGGAAAAATCATAATACATTACTACATTATGAGGGAAGGAATGATAATTCGAAAGAAGGATCAAATAAGGAAATCAATACAACCACAAATAATCCAACTCCTCAAGTTTGTAGCGCTATAATGACATCTCAAGTTTTGCTTTCAACTGCTGTAATTAAAATGAGGGCTAGCGATAACAGTCTCAAACAAGCGCGCGTTCTATTAGATAATGGATCCCAATCGAATTTTATCACTGAAAATTTTGCAAAATCGTTAAATCTCCCAACAAAAAAAATCAACCTTCCAGTTGAAGGGTTGAATCAGATTGAAACGCGTATAAACCAATCTATTAACACACAAATATTTTCTAAACATTCCAATTACAAGGAAAATGTCGAATTTCTCGTTATACCTCAAATCTGTAATTTATTGCCGAATCAATTCATTGATAGATGCGCACTTACCATTCCACATAATATTCAGCTAGCAGATCCGGAATTTTATAAACCAAATCACATTGATGCATTACTCGGAGTAGAAATCTTTTATGATTTGCTTATGCTGGGTCAGATTGAGATACCAGGCCATAAAGCCAAATTACACAAAACACAGTTAGGGTGGATAATCTCAGGTAAGCTCGGATCAGGTAGGAAATGTAAACCTTCTACTAGTATGCTCACGCTAGGTACACTAAATAAAAACATTTGTCAATTTTGGGAATTAGAAGAAATAAAAGATAAAACCTTTTTATCCGAAGAGCAATTTGAAGTTGAAGAGCATTTTAAAAGAACCACACAACGCGATCCTCAAACAGGAAATTATACAGTTTCTCTACCATTTAATAAAAAGGTAGAAAATTTAGGAGAGTCATTCAAACTAGTTGAAAAACAATTTTTAGCGTTAGAGCGAAGACTTGCAAAAAACCCAGATTTAAAATCCGCGTATGTAAAAGGCATGCAAGAATCAATACAATTAGGGCATATGGTTGAAATTAACGATGACGATATTCAAAAGCGACATTGTTTTTTACCACATCACCCTGTAATAAAAGAATCGAGTTCCTCTACTAAGACTAGAATCGTATCCAACGCGTCCTTTAAAACAAGCTCAGGGATTTCTTTGAATGATTGTTTGAAAGTGGGTGCCGTTGTTCAAAATAGTAGCTTTGAAATCACACTAAAATTCAGAACACACCAAATTGTTTTAGTAGCAGACATTGAAAAAATGTACAAGCAAGTACTTTTAAACAAAGATGATGCGCAATATCAATTAGCACTCTGGAGAGAAAACGAAAACGAAATAATAAAGAAATTTATTATTCCCGTAGTTTTGTTCGGAACCTCCGCAGCTCCTTTTTTAGCAACACGTATTTTAAATCAATTAGCTGAAGACGAAAGAGATCGTTTTCCTTTAGGCAGCAAAGCTTTAAAGGAAGACTGCTACGTAGACGACATAATGACAGGAGATGACGACATAATAAAGACTATACAACTTCGGGACGAATTAATAAATATTACCCAATCAGCAGGGTTTCGGTTAAGAAAATGGATTTCAAACCACCCGGAAGTGGTAGAATCTTTGGCTGAATCTAATGAAAACATAGATTTGCTTATTAATAAAGGTATAGAAACTAAAGCACTCGGTATTCAGTGGAATACAATCTCCGATGAATTTGTTTACAAACTTGTTGAGAAACCAGACCATAAATATACAAAACGTACCATCTTATCTATCATTGCTGGATTATACGATCCCATAGGTTTATTAGGGCCAATTATAGTGTCAGCAAAAATTGTTATGCAACAACTGTGGCAATGTAACATAGATTGGGATGAGTCAGTTCCACATACTATTTACACCCAATGGCAAAAAATCGAAAGTCAATTGCCACTATTAAATGAAGTCAAATTTAATCGAAAGGTTATAATCAAAGATGCAGTTCGTATTGAAGTGCATGGGTTTTGCGATGCAAGCGAAAAGGCATACGGAGCCTGCATTTATATTAGGTCGGAAAATTCTAACGGGAATGTTCTCACAAATCTTTTATGTTCAAAAAATCGCGTTGCGCCATTGAAGGTAATTTCGCTTCCAAAATTAGAGTTGTGCGGAGCATTGTTGTTATCACGTTTAATTAAATCAATATTACCCGTAATAAAAAGGCCAATTGATGAAATCCTTTTATGGTCGGACTCCACCATTACTTTGCAATGGATTACCACACAACCAAATTTATTGAAAACATTCGTCGCAAATCGAGTTGTGGAAATCACTGATGCAACGAAGACAATGAAGTGGAGGCACGTGTCTTCACAGGACAACGCAGCCGATGTCCTTTCGCGCGGACAGCTTCCTGCTGAGTTCTTAAACAATGCTTTGTGGAAAAGCGGTCCACAATGGCTTAGTGAAAACCGATCTGAATGGCCTAATGACCACAGGCAGGTAGTTCCGTTACTAGAAATGAAGACAATAGTGTCACTACCCGCGGCATTAAATCAAAACGCAATGTTATATAAATATTCTAACATTAATAAATTTACACGAATTATTGCATTTATATTGCGGTTCTTAAACAATGCATCGAAAAATAAAGTTCCATCTCGCGGTTCTTTAACCATCACTGAATTAAAAAACGCACTGATAGTTATTTTAAAAATGACTCAGAGAGAATGTTTCTCTGAAGAAATCAAACAGCTGAAAAAAGAAAAATGCGTACATGTAAAAAGCGATCTCCGTTCTCTTAACCCTTTTTTAGATAATGACGGATTACTGAGAGTAGGGGGAAGATTAAAAAATTCAAGTCTTACTTATTCGGAAAAATATCCCATCATTTTACCGAAAGGTCATCATGTCACGACTTTGATTATTCGCGAGCAACATTTAATGAATTTGCACGGAGGAACACAATTAACTTTAAATTCAGTTAGGGCGAAATATTGGCCAATCAATGGAAAAAATGTTACCAAATCAGTTATACGCAAATGTGTTACTTGTTTTCGTGCAAACCCAATGGATCAAAACTATTTTATGGGCGATCTCCCACGCGATAGAGTAGTACAATCACGACCCTTTCTAAATGTGGGACTCGATTATTGTGGTCCATTTTTTATCAAGGAGAAAAAATTTCGAAATCGTGGTAAAGTAAAAACTTACGCGTGCATTTTTGTTTGTTTGGCAACTAAGGCTATTCACATTGAATTAATCACAGATTTAACGACGGAAGCATTTCTTGGCGGCTTGCGTCGATTTTTTTCAAGGCGTGGATATTCTTCGAATATTTATTCCGACAATGCCACGAATTTTGTAGGAGCAAAAAACGAACTTCACGATTTAAATAAATTTATTAATGAAACTGAACACACAGAGGAATTTACAAATTTTCTTACAAACAAAAAAATTCAGTGGCACTTTTCGCCACCTCGATCACCTCACTTTGGAGGGCTGTGGGAGGCGGCAGTCAAATCGTTTAAATCCCATTTTAAGAAAACGGTCGGGGATGCCTTGTTTACTTATGAGGAATTGTTAACCTATACAACTGAAATCGAAGCCATCCTTAATTCCCGTCCCATCACACCTTTATCTGACGATCCCAATGATTTACAAGCCCTTACTCCTGCGCATTTCCTTATTGGAGATATATTCACAAATCTTCCCGATCTCAACCTGAGGGATACTCCAACGAATCGTTTATCCAGCTGGCAACATATTCAGTACGTGCGACAACATTTTTGGAGGAGATGGTCAAAGGAATATCTCAATCAGCTGACGGTCCGATCAAAATGGCAATTCAAGAAACCGGACAATATAACCATTGGGACAATGGTTCTTTTGAAGGAAGACAATGTTCCACCCCTTCGCTGGCCTTTAGGACGGATAACAGAAATTTTTCCGGGAGAAGATGGCCTCATCAGAGTCATCACAGTCAAAACACATGCGGGGACCTACAAGCGCTCCACTAGAGGCGTGGCACGTCTCCCCATTGAATAGTCTCCAAATGCAGTGTATTAAGAAGAAAATTCTAGACAATAATTAGTGAATGAATGTCAATGCAACTTAGAGACTCAGACATTGTGTTGTTAACTTAAACTTTGTTGCTCTGTTCATATCATTAAATATTGAACCGTGCTCGTTCAAGGCGGGCGGAATGTTTATATTCGTTATTTGCAACAGATGTTTGGTTTATATCCATCTATGAAATTCTCATTCTAGTGAAAGAGAAACAAATGAATTGTTCTCAAAAACGTCTTTTCAAATTTTATGATGTATTTTATAACTTAATCCTGGAAATATTAGTCTACACTTTAATCCTGAAAATGTGTTCTAATCCTCAAAAAAAAAAAAAACTTTCAAAACTCGTCAAATCCTTTAAATTGTTTTATGACGAGAGTAAAGGTCTCTTTACTAAAATTTGTGTGACCCTGAGATAGGGTGGAGACAAATTGCAAAAAATCCAGGTAGAATCTTAAATTCATTCCCACTCCTCAAAACTTTGTACCCCCACTCTTGTAAACCTTATTTTTGACAGAACTTTACTTCACTTCAATTTGTAACTTGTTGAAATAAACACCTTTGTACAATGTACATTTCACTGCTCAAATTCATTCAAATAACCAAATTATTCTCCGCGTCTTATTAACTTAACACGCGGGCATTGTATCCTAGTTCATTAAAAATTATAAGTTAGTGGTGCAATGCCAAAAGATAACACATGTATTTTTATGAAAAAAAAGAATGTTTTAGAGAGATTCTGCATTTCATTCATTTCAATAATTCCCTCTTCAGTAAATTTTACAAAAGAAAAATAAATAGACAATGAAAAGAATTTCGTAATAATTAAAATTTTTAAATTTGTTCTCTCTTTATTTTTTATTTAAATTATTAATAATGTAAACAATTCCAATAATTCTTTTTGAGAAAATGTTTTTAAAAAATAAATAATTACTATTTTTTTAATTTGATTTATTGTTAAAATTTCAATTGTTAATAATTTGAATAATTCCCTCTTCGAGAAAATTTACAAAAAAAATATAAATAAAAAATAACTCATTTATAAGGAATAGAATTTTTAAACTTGTTTTGTTGTTATTTTCTATTTTAATTATTAATAACTTAAATAATTCGAATAATTTCATCTTCAAGAAATTATACAAAAAAAATAATTTAAAATGTAAAATGTTTTGTTGTTCTTTTTAATTTAAAAAATTTAAGAATTTCTCTTGGAGAAATTGTGCAAAAAACTCAATATAAAAAATAAGAATTAAAAATTAAAAATTTATTTTGTCGTTGTTATTTTTTAATTTTGTTAAATTGAATTAAATCGTTAATTGTTAAAAGAATAAATTCCAAATAACAATGAATCGGAAAAAACTTTATTTTTCCAAAAGTAATTGATTTGAAAATAGAAAAATAAATGAAAAAAAAAAATTGAAAGTTTGATGATTATCAGAGTGAGGACAATTGAAATAATCCGAGTTCCTTATGTAAAGAAAAAAAAATAAAGTGAATTAAAGAGAATAAAAAAAAATAGTCTTACATAGTACGAGGTCAAGTGTTGAGCGCGTGAAAACTCATAGTTCTAAAGGCAATGCTCTTTCTCCTTGAGCTAGTTGGTGGTCGTCGTCGGACGTTGCACTATTGGCATTACATGCAGTCAATAACGTTGAACAGGCCAGGTTGCAATTAATTGCCGCTAAACGTCCTCATGAGCAACAGGTAAGGAAGAAGATTAATTTATTAGCAACATCGAGATATGTGCAAATAGAATTATTCCGTTGACACTAAATTCAAAGGAATCTCCAACAAGTGCACAAGAAATAAAAAAAGAAGAAGCCCTATTTTCTATTAATACTGCTGTTTATTAAGCGAAAGAAAATTTAATTATTTTCCAATCACTTATTTTCAAACTATACATTTCTAACAATTATTTTCAAAATATTGTAAAAATATTAATTTTATTGTAAAAATTTATTTATTTTATTAATTTTAATTATTTTTACTCTGCTTATTTTTATTTTAATTGCTTTTATTTCGTTTATTTTTATTTTGTTTATTTTTATTTTTCTTCTACTTTTTTTTATTTTAATTATCTTTATTTCGTTTATTTTTATTTTATTTATTTTATTTTAATATTATTTTACTGTTATTAACAGTCAAAACGTTTTTACTCAATTAATTTTTCAAATCAGGTGGTCGATTATGTAATTTAATTTTTATTTTGACTTTCAATTTTCACTTCCACTTTGATGGTTTGTTATTTTCAATTTGATGTTCAATTTGACAAATTGATTTTCTCTTTTATTTTCACTTTGTCAGATTTTTATTTTCACTTCCTGTGAAAGTGAAAGTAAAAATAAAAATTTATCAAACCAACAGGGAAATTTATTTTTACTTCACTATTTTCAAAAGTCACTTTTACAGTGAAAGTAAAAATGAAACTGAAAATAAAAATCGCAAGAATTCAATTATTCTCATAAATAATAAAATTATTTGGAAATATTCAATTATTTTTATAAAAAGTACAATTCTTGTCAGGAATTCAATTATTTTCAAAATAATTTTAATGGCATTTCACAAAAGGATTCAATTATTTTTTAAAATTTTTAGAAAAATTTTTCAAAAGAATTCAATTATTTCTAAAATTTTAATAAATTTTTCGAAACAATTCAATTTTTTTTATAAATTTTTAGTAAAATTTTTCGAAATAAATTAAAATATTTTTTATAAATAATAAAATTCTTCTCAGGAATTGAATTATTTTCAATAAAATTTTAATAAAATTTTTCGAACAATTTCGATTATTTTTCAAAATTATAATAAAATTTTTCCAAAAAATTCAATTATTCTCAAATGTTTTGAAAAAATTCTTTATAAATTTTAATTATTTTCAAAATTTTCAATCAAAACTATTAAGAAAAAAGTAGATAATTTCCAAGAAATTTAAAGAAATTTTATTAAAAATTTTATTATATTTACGAAAACTCTAAAAAAAACTGATTAAAAGAATTAAATTTTCTATAAATAATTTTAATAAAATTTAGTAATAAAAAAAAAAAAAATTAATGTAAAACAAAAAAAAAAAAAAATTAAAAAAAAAATTAAAATTAAATTAAATTAATTAATTAAATTAATTAAAATTAAAATTAAAATTAAAATTAAAATTAAAATTATTGTAAAACACTATTTTTTGGAAACCTTAAAAGAAATTATTCATAAAATTCAATTAGGCTTTTCAAATTTTGAATACAAAATTATTAAACAAAATCCATTATTTTCAAAAAATTCAAATAAATTCTTCAAAATAATTCAGTTGTTTTAATAAATATTTTAATAATATTCTTGGGAAAAATTCAATTATTTTCATAAATAGTAAAATTCTTTGTGAAAATTCAATTATTTTCAATACAATTTTAAAAAATTTAATTATTTTCAATTCAATTTAAATTAAATTCGACGAAAGGATTCAATTATTTTTTTTAATTTTTAATAAAATTTTTTCAAAAGAATTCAATAATTATTTTCTACAATTTTTAATAAATTCTTCGAAACAACTCAATTATTCTTACAAAGAGTAAAATTCTGCGCAAGAATTAAATTATTTTTATAAATAATGAAATTCTTCTCAAGAATTCAATTATTTTTATAAATAATAAAATTCTTCTCAAGAATTCAATTATTTACAATACAATTTTAATAAAATTCAATAATAAAATTTTTAATTATAATTATTAACAAATCAGATTATTGTAAGAAGTTTAAAAAAATTTTTTGTTCAATTAAATTATTTTTAAAATTTTCAATAAAAGTTATAGGAAAAACTACATTGATTTAAAAAAAACTGAAAGAAATTCTTCAAAAAATATTTAATAATAATATTTTTAAAAATCTAATTTTTTAATAATAATTTTAATAAAATTTAACAACATTAATTTCAAGAAATTTTAAGAAATTATATTAAAAAATTTAATTATTTACAAAAACTCTAAAAGAATTTAATTTTCTATAAATAATAAATAATTTTAATAAAATTTAATAATAAAATTACTAATAAACATGATATTTCAATTATTTTAAATAATTCAATTATTTTAAATAATTCAATTATTTTCAATAATTCAATTATTTTCAATAATTCGATTATTTTCAATAATTTAATAATTATTTTCAATAATCCAATTATTTTAAATAATTCAATTATTTTCAATAATTCGATTATTTTCAATAATTTAATAATTATTTTCAATAATCAAATTATTTCAAATAATTTTAATAAAATTCTTGACAAGAATTAAATTGTTTTCAAAAATTTTAATAATATTCTTTGGAAGAATTCAATTACTTTCCAGAATAATAAAATTCTTTGCGAGAATTCAATTATTTTCAACCTACAATTTTAATAAAATTTCTCGAAAGAATTCAATTATTTTCAAATTTTTTTTTTAAATACTTCTCTGTAGAATTCAATAATTTTCAATACATTAAGTTTAAAATTTTTCAAATTTTAAATGAAAAATTATTAGAAATGTTAGGAAATAAAGAAGCAAACAAAAACTAAATTTAAACTGCGAACAGATAACCAGAATACAACGATTATTAACATAGATTACAATTATTACAATAAATAAATATTTATTTGATAAAATCGAAAGGCAATCGTTTATTTGAATCAAATAAATTTTTTTTATTATTAAAACTTTTCCACTCGTAAAAAATTACTTCAATATCGAATCTCATAAAGTTTCCTCTTTTTTCTCCTTTTGAAAAAAAAAATAAAATACTAATACGAGGGAGGGAAAAAAAGGGAACAATGAAAGAAATATGTATATATATATATATATATATATATAGATATTTCTGAGTCGTTACATAAAATTTTATTGTCTACTGAAGTAAAGTCAGTTTATACTCAAATATATATACTTGGAGATGACAAAAGATTGCACTTATTTTTATCGTCATTTCCTATTGAAGAGAAACGCAACTGTCATTGCAATATGACGTACAACGAAGAATAACTTCTTAATCTCATTTGCGACCGCACATGTACATAATCGGCGTAAACGCCAGGTTCATGAACTCAATTCAGTTCAAGGAGGCATATATTGAATATTTGTTTGCAGTGCCGGTTTGCGTTTCTTTGCAGTATATTAAATATATATATATATATAGATATATGTGTGTGCGCCTGCATATTGCAAAGATGTCAATGAAGAGAAACCACGCTCTGGGTTTTATGTATTTATATATCTATATATGCAAGTTTTATATACTCGACTATATTTGTCTTGAATATTTTCAAGGTAAAGGCATAGAACTTACATAGTCCAGGGACACTTTGTCACTGGGGCAATGATCGATTGTGTTTTTTTCATTTTAATTTTCCTTCAATGAAGAATGTTAATTGACTCTGTTTAATACGTAAACAGTCATTAGTGATTCTTTTTCTTTTTCAAAATTTTCTATATTTATAATGTTGTGGAAATTTATTGACTACTGTTAAAAAATCTATATACAAATTTATATTAACAGTAGTTAATATAATTAACTACTGCTAATTAATTTATTGACAGTAGTCAAAACTTTATTTTATTTTTTTTTTTGTTTTTTGTATTGTATTGTATAGTAGGTACAGAAATAATAAAATAAAAATAATAAACATAAAAAAAAATTGTAAAAATGGCTATTTATTAGTGAAATTTACTAATTTATAAGCAAAAAATCAGTCACTAAATCAAATTAGTAAATATTTTTACTAATTCAAATTTAGAGAGTAGGGTTGCAACAAAAATTTAATTTTGTTTTTCCCTTACTTTTCCTGATTTCCAAACAGAATTTTCACTTTTTTCCTGACCCTAAAGAATATTCTGATTTACTCTAAATATGATTAGATACTAAAAAAAAATGTTCTATTACATTTATTTACAAATTTCTTCAAAAGTAAAATTATTCGAAAACATCAATAACTTCATTTTTAAATAAATATTTAATCATTATTTATTTTCCATAGGAATTAAGATTTTCAAAAATTAAAATTCAAACCTTTTTGAAATTCAACAATTTATAAGAATGTTCTTCATGTTTTATAATAATTAAGGATGACCGAGTGATAAAATTATTATTTTATATTATCAAAATACTGTTACTGTAATTTCTTTAAAATTATTTTCATCATTTCAATTCAATTATTATTTTCTAGAAATTTTAATTAAAATTCTTCTTTAAATCAATTTTTTTTAAAATAATTTTTAAAAAAATTCTTTGAGAATTTTCAAATCCATTTGTTTTCAATTCAAATATACGAAATTTCGATTATTCGAAACTTATATTAGAAAATAAAAACTTCAAATAATTTCCAAAAAAAATTCAATTAATCTTTTTCAAAAACATTTATTCTACAAAATTGTTAGCTAAAAGTATAAAAAATCCAGCTTTTCAAAGATTTTAATTTGATACCATTTCAAAATTCAATTATTTCCAAAAATTCATGCTAATATGCTTTTAATATTCAATTATTATCCAAAATTTTAACTGAAATTCATTTTTAAATCCATTTTTATTAGAAAATTCTACGAGAATTTAATTATTTAAATACAAAAATATATAATTTATTGAATAAATGGATCAAATTGATACCAAAAATTTGGATCAAGTTTTGATATGATCCACATTTTTGGTATCAATTAATTGCAACTTGATACTTTTAAGTAAACAGTGTTCATAAAGAATTTTATCAACAAATTTTCAAAGAATTTAATTCTTTCGACAAATTTTAATAAAAT